AATATGTTTTACTTGTCAAGACATGCAAGACTTCTACTATTCTGTTAAGTTTGCTTTTCGTCACTAATAATTTGACTATTCTCACTCTTATCCCATGGTAAAAACTCTTCGATAAGAAATTTTTCTTGGAACGCTAAAGTACCTCTGCATAAAAAATGAGAAAATCAAGCGTTGATTTAAAATGAATAAAACATCTCAATTTCTCCATGTAAAACGCGTTTTCTACACGCGTGTAGTTGCTTGACGTAATTCCATGAGTCTTTTGTGCCATTGCACTCGATTTTTGTCATCAGCGCGTTTTTTATAACATTTTTTCTCGCTTCTATGATTGCACCAGACAGCTGATCTTATTTCATTGTCTTACTCAATAGGTCTGCTAGCATCTGGAATACTAAGCTCTTAAGAATAGAGCTTCTTGCATCTTCTTTTATGGTCCTCCAACACATCGCATATGTTAGGAATGTGATTATCTTCATCTAGAAACTCTCATATACTAGAAACTTTTATCTATATTCTTTTTTCGAATTCTTCAAAATCGAATTATTTTCGTATTGGGGTATGCTATGTATGCCTTATGCTCTATTCACCTCTTAGTACTCACATGTCTTTGCTTAAATAAATTATGAATTTAAACAGAAAGATACGAAAGTATGTTCCTCTTGCAGAATGCCTAACGTAAATGTTAAATGGGGCAAGGAAAAGTACCAAGTCTCTCTCGACTTCGATGAACCGCCTCTAGTATTCAAATCTCAACTCTTTGCTCTAACGGGTGTTCCTCCAGATCGTCAAAAGGTTGTAATCAAGGTAGGTGAAAGAGGCTTTAACTTTTAGAGGCTCTCTATTATCTTCCAGTTCATGATGTAAGCGAAACTTCCTTTTTTTAAGGTGAATGTGTTTTGCAAGCACTCTCATTACCTTTGCAAATTCAAATTAGAAGAATACATTCGCATTGTTTGGAGAGATATTCGTTTCATTAAAAAGTTTACTACGTTCTAGCAAATGATAACACCATGTCTTGGTAATATCGAGAAATT